AGTGTCAAAGCGTGCGACGAACGAACACACAACAACGAACCAGTCAGTCAAATAGCCAACAAGCGAATTTGCGCGCACGCACCTAATTTGAGTGATAGAAAAAATAATTAATTTTTTCATATTCTATTTGTTTTCATGGACACAAAATATTTTAAATCAAATTCGATTAGAGTTCGGTTCAGTGATTCTCTCGCTCCATTCGATTTGCATAAGTTAATTTAAACGAGGCATGAGATTGCGTTTTATAATCGAAAATCAATTTGGATTATATTGCACAAAAAAATATTGATCGTATTTTATGCATGCGGCAGATGCTAGATGACGTCGATAGTTTTGAAGACCGGTTGACGATTTTTTGTTCGAATCAAAAATCGATTCGTTTTAAGCGCTGAAAAATTATATGTTGACATCCATTTGAGCAATTGAAATAAAATAATCTTCAGACCGATTAGTGTATTTACACCTCATTTGGAGCAATTAGACTGCGGTGCGATAGTAATCACATGAGGTTAATCAATCTTGGATTGTAAAAATAGCGTACCGAACACGAGCGTCTTTTCATCGTACATTTTGCTTTTTGTTGTGTATATTACAAGTTGTACAACACGGGTTTATCGTGGATAGCAAATTTCAAACGAGAAAACGAGTTTCACTTGCATCTGTTTTCACTGAACCGTGAAAAAACACAAACGCCTCATTGTCTCTAACCTTGAGCGATGTGTTGTCGTTTTGTTCTCCTAGTTTCGCATTTTGGTGCGTAATTCACTTCATTTCAGCGGTTGTTATTTCTGCATCAATAAATCAAACGCCAGGACGCATCATAATACAATTGCAGTATGGTGATAATTGATCAACATGACGACGCTTGGCAATCCATCAACATGACGATTTAATCCAAATGCAAATACTATACAATCGAGATTTGGATTTGGCAACAATAAAATAACGTTTGAAACGTAATTCTACAAACATGTGCATTAACAGTGATCTGGAATGACAACAATTTAGCGGCGAATCGTTGTGCATACTGTTACTTTCACCCCTGATAACCAACAATCTACCTTAAACGAGACTCTCGATACGAGACACATAATAGACACTCTCTGTGACGTAGGGTCTACGTGTTATAATTTTCTCACCAGCAATGATTCAACATCCTATGTAGAATCGATCGTATACGATATGCGTTCAATATCATGATTTTCATTTATAAATAAATATTTTGATATATCTCAATGTTGTTATCATTGACAATAAAATTGTCTTGATTCAGCTCAAGTTGGAGAATCCCCTCGAGTTCAATGGTAATATATGAACTTCAGCGTTTGCATTTCTAAATGGAAATTTTTCTTTAGGAAATAATGTTATTTATCAAAAACAACAAAAGCCTCCCTAGGATATCTGTGCGAATTTGTCGAACTTTCTATTCTAGGTTACACAAATAAAATTCGATAAATAATTTTTCCTACCGGTAAACAAATTCACGCTACATCACAATGTAAAATGATAATAATTAAATGAACGTCATTGCGGTAAAAGCATCATATGACATTGGTACATCCTATTAATTTAATTTGTATTGTGGTTTTATTTGGTGGTAAAATTTAATTCGTATTTGTTCAAGTGGAAATAAAACAATTTAATTGGCGCCTTCCGAAGCCAGCTTATCTTTGATGGAATGTATGTCAGCAGAGAAAGCACGTTGATATTAAGTATCATGCTGTATCAAGGCGAAGAGTTCGATCAAGGAACAGGATTTTTCCATTTCAGTAGCAAAGGCAACAGTCGATTTTTCGTTTTTTCTAATTGCACTTCGTTTATGTGAATATCAAATAATGAAATGGTGCCCCACAACAGATTATTATTTGTCTAACCTCATCACGCCAATGAACAAACCATAAAAAAAACTCTTCTATTTATAACGCGCATCATTTTTTTCTCGTCACTTGTAGCATCTATTTATCCAACCGTAAGTGCTTACTTCTGTTTAATCATATCAATATTGTTTATGGCGATTTGGTTTATTTGTTTTTGATTGGGAAATGTACAAATAATCTACGTAAGTTCATTATCAGTGTTAAGTTATTATCAGTGTTTATCATGCAGTTTTGACGAATTTTTTTATGTTCTATTTACATACTCTTAGAATCATTCCTGTTTGAAATGCGTTTTATAAAAATAGATCATAAATTTTCATTTCCACATTTAAATTGTCGATTTACGCAAGTGTTTTAACTATCGGCCTGTTGCAAAACTTAGTTTTACGATCTCGTTTCAAATGAGTTGAATATGACGACCTGTTAATCTAGCGCCGATAAAATGTTTTCCGAATAAAGCACAGATCGTCAATCCGTTAGCAGAACCTCGTTTTAAAATGTATCGTAATTCATTTGGAAATGATGATTAAATTTCGTTTATTTGTGAATCAACACCTCGAAATTTGGACTTTCACAATTCTATTCGATTCCATTCACTCCGTCTAACCGGTCAATTTAAAAGTAAAAAAGTACAACTGTCTGATCTGTTCCCACATATACGAATAATGCTGGTACGTTTCGGGTATTTCGAATTTCGAACATGGTTGTAACTGGTCTAATTTCGGAACGGCTGCCGCAATGAAATGTCATCATTTCACTGGAAATGCCAAAAAGGTTATGTGTAGTTTAACAGAAGCGATTTGTTTTGACCGCGTAAACCATACATTCTCTTATATCGGGTTTCGGTGAAAAAGTTTCTGTTTTTCTTACGACAAATGGTGCAATTATCATTGGATTAAATACAATTTGATGAAATGTAGATATTGCATACATTTGTGCGGTCAAAACAAACGTAGTAAAAACGATTGCTTCTAGTATCATCGCAATTGTGTCAAGTTTTGCGTAAATATTAGCGTCAAAGAACAGAAAAAAGGTAATTTTCATTCAAATTTGCATTTTTGAAGTGATTTGATAAAAATTGAATTAACAAAATGAATACCAAAATGTTTTATATCCTCAAGTGTATTCGTTATGGCAAACTCTGGGAATTTTCACAGTGTTTGGATTGTCAGTGTCAAAGAAGTGTTTCGCATTGCGATAAACTGATATTTTGTTGTTCATATCGGTTGTCATTCATTTTAACAGTTCACTTGCAACCATATTTTTACATTTCTTGATTAAAATTTGATCTTTTTCTTGTTCATTTCCCTTTGCTCATTCGAAAAAAAAAAAAATTTGTCGTCACAGGCTTGATCGTACTCGTGTGTGTATGAAGTCATTAAAAATCCTTGCAATAAGTGTGACAAAAACAAAATGCGCTATTGAATGGTGAAGAACGTCAAAGTAATCGGCATTATTCTTGGCAAAGAAAAATCTAGGCTAAAATCAAGCAATGGCGGAATTTATTGACCCTGACGTGCAAGATGAGCTACAAGCAATGACCGGTGCACCAAAAGTGCCATTGTTTGGAGGCATTCGAACGTTAAGTAAGAGTTTGACTTTTAATCTATGGCAAAAAACGTCAATTATAATGTGCGAATATTGTATTAATAGATAAGGGTGATTTGAGAGCTGCAAAATTGTCACGTCCGACATTTTCAAGTGAGAATTCTGGGCCGTCGATAAACACACTGAATGCCATACAACAGCCAGGTCGTAATTATTCACCACCACCGCCATCGGTACCGGTACTGTCAACAACGGATAAGGCAACCAAAATAGAACTCGAAGCCATTCTACGGAAACCGGCCCATACACCATTGGACAAGTAAGACTAACTTTTCAACATTTTGCACGTAGAAATCTAATAAATTTATTCCATCATAGATTTCGAACCTTAGAAGCCCGTGACAAATTGATTCGTTTGACAACTGTGAAGAATTTAGATATCAGAAAAGCGACCAGCACACAAGGTGTATGCCCTGATATGTGCCCAGAGAAAGAGCGATTATCGCGTGAATCGAAAAATCGAGTGGAACCGTTTGAGTCGGGAAATGGTTCAAAATCGGTGATGAACTATAAAATGGGTGTGAAAGAGTATTCCAGAAGTTCGGCCGATCAAGAGACACCATTGCCACATGAATTGCGACCAGAGCCGGTACTTAAGCTTACCATGACATATTTACTCCAAAACATTATGGATTTATGTGACGATCCGGACACATCTATCGGTGAATGGTATCAATTTGTGTGGGATCGAACGCGAAGCATCCGTAAAGACATAACACAACAGGAACTATGTAGTACCGAAACGGTTTTGCTCATTGAACAATGCGCTAGATTCCATATCCATTGTGCCGGTCGTTTGGTGGCCGAGGAACCATCGATTTTTGATCATCGAATAAATACCGAGAATCTCACCAAGTGCTTGCAATCGTTGAAGTAAGTTTCGTTTTGTTTTGTTTTCTTTTCTTTTCTTTTTAATGTCAATGGCATATCCTATGTCCAATGCACATGTTTCAATTCCCCATTCTTATATTTTGAACGAAATTTGTATCTCGTTTGGTTTTCAGATACAATTACCACGATTTGGATCTGAAGAGAATTCGATGTCCGAACGAGCCAGAGTTCCGGGCCTATGTAGTGCTTCTGAATTTGCATGACTCAAATTTCTTATGGGAAGTAAAGCAGTTGCGAGAAGAGATTCAACAGTCGCCCGAAATACAATTTGCGATTAAAGTGTACCTTGCCATCGAAAGCAATAACTATGTGAAGTTTTTCTCACTTGTTCGCTCAACAACCTACATGAATGCCTGCATTTTGCTGCGATACTTTACGCAAGTTCGTGTTAAGGCACTGAACATCATGTTTAAAGCGTATGCACCCAGAAATCCGGTCTACATGCCAATTTCAAACTTAACCTACTTGTTGGCATTTGAAGATGCCGAACAATGTGCACAGTTCTTGGAATACTACGGATTATCCGTCGACCGTGACGATGATCGATTCTACTTGGATCGGAATTCATTTTACCTACCTGATATGCCTTACATACTGGATCGAGCTATCAATGTAGTCGAACACAAGAGACATTCGTCGGTTGGTGAGGTGGTTCATGGTGCACCACTTGATATGAAAAGTGTACTGGAGAAGTATGAGCCGCACGATAGTTTTGATGAAAATGGGTAAGCAGAATTTTCAAACGACTGTCTGATGTCTGATACTTTTATCGATTTTTCATGATTTGTTCGACTAAAACTCAATCATAGTCAGCCTTTTTTGATCCAATTGGTTTATTTAATCAAAATAACGTGCACACGGGATTCCCTTTTTCATTTTAATTCAATCTTTTTTCCTCTTGTTCCAAAATAAATGATCAAATATTTGTCTTTAATTTCGCAGACTCTTACTTCTCAAAGCTTGGACGGCTGATGATCAGAATTACTATAAGCCTGAAGCGCGTATTGAGGCTCGAATGCAAAAATCCGTCATTCCAGACGAAAGTGTATTCAAAATGCCGTTGGCACCACCAAGATCTAGTCCAAAGTCTCGATTATCACCGAAGCCAATCGTCAGTTCTGAGAATACGTTTTCCGCCACATCAAATACGTCATCCGTTTTTGGATCGAACAAACTCACATCGTCTACACAAAATTCATCTGGTGGATTTTTCAAGATTCAATCGAATCAGCAACCTTCGGCAAATAACATATTTGGAGCCTATAAACAATCTGCCCCACAAACCAACCTATTTGGAAACAACGCCTCAAATGATACACCAGCTGGGCAGCAGTCAAAGCCATTTGATACATTCGACGGTAATTCATTCAAATTCACAACCAATACGCCATTTGGAAAAGCGACTGAAAATACCACCACACCAACCAACAGTATTTTTTCGACGGGATTCTCACAAAAGTCTGAAACTGAATCAGGATCGTTTGCTCAAGTGAAACCACCAACAACAAAGAATGTATTTGGCAATGCGACGTCGAATGCACCATCAATTATTGGTGACTTCTCATCGGCTGCGTCGAATGAATCGTCAAACAACAAAGGGTTCATGGGACGAACGTCATTTCAAACACCGACATCATCTAGCCAAAGCGTTGGCACTGGCCTGTTCGGTGGATTTAAAGGCAATTCAACGTCGATACCAGGAGTTATGCCACTGAAAGACACAGACAATGAACTGACCAAAAAACTTGAAAAGGAGAAAGAAGCAGCCCAGCTGCAGGAAGAAGCACGCAAGAAGAAAGAAGCTGAAGTGAATGAACGAAAAAGGAAGGCCGAATTAGAGGAGCAAGCGCGACGAAAGAAAGTAGAAGAAGAGAAAAAACGGCAGCTTGAACTGGAGAAGAAACGAGGCGAAATTGAAAAGGCATCGGAAAAGTATGTAGAAGAAATTATCGGGGAATTGGTATCAAGTAACCTGGAAGAAATCACTTCTACGGAATTAAAGCGGTACCGAGCGATCGAGGAATCGATCATTAAAACCTACACCGATCTTGTGAACGAAGTTATTGATGCCGAACTGAAACGAATCGCTTTTGATGTGAAAACCGCTTGGGATAAAAATATACTCGAAAAATATTTCACATGTTGGCGAAAGTTGACGCGTCAGAAGATCCAGCAAAGGCAGAAAATTGCAAACACACCAGCGTGGTTGCCGGCAAAGAGTATGCAAGAACTAATTCCCGAACTACAGCACCCACTCCAGTCAAAGACGTTGAGCCTCATGAAGCGTTATCGTTCCGGGTTGCCAAGCAAACTCATCGCTCCGCCGATTCGAGAAGACAGTATTGATTTGTGGAGCATCATAACACCGGAACTGGTCAAATTGACCGCACAAACCAAACTCAAGCGAATGCAAAATATCTACTGGAAATGTGCCATTTCACTGCCCGACACCAATGAAGACCCATCATGTAAAGCCATAAGCCAATGGTTGGACAATGTATTCTATCGCCAATTCCCCCGCCAAAATGATATTTTCTTCGTTGAACAACATGACATTCACAATCAACGGGTCAATGTATGCATGCGAAAATTTACCGGCAAAAAATTGCTCAACGAAAGCCAAACAGTGCATGTGCCAAAAGATGTCGAGGGAACAAATGCCATTTTATTCTTTTTGACCACGAAAAAATTGCATGAAACACGTGAACGACTCAAAGCGGTCTTAAAAACGATTGAACTGAATAATGCGGCCGGTTTGATCATTTACAGCTTGGATACGAGTGATTTGGATGACATAAAGAATGCGCTAAATCTGTACGATTTTATGGATTATGACAAAGTGGACGGGTGTTTCTTCGCGAATAATTTACGAAATCGCGGTAACAATTTGTGTCATTTGACAAAACATGGTTTGAAATATGTGGCCGCCAATTCATTCTACGATGATCAATTGGAATTGCAACAAATCGTATCGTTCCTGCGCATTTGTCTGGCCGATGAACTGTGGCAACGTATCTACATGTCGGTGAGTCGAAATCCAACACTACTTGAGGCAACGACACGGTTCAGTTTCCTTGTCGACTATCACAATGAAGCCATTGATCGACTGATTTCTGTGTGCACTCCATCAATGGATTCACCAACGCTGTTCCCGTACGAGCTACGTCAATTTGTGCCGAAGCATCAACTCGACATCCCATTAGGTTTAGAGTATTTCCCAGAAAATTGGCAACAAACCGCCGAACAATATCAAAAACAATTGCAAAACTTTTTGAAGTCATTACAAATTCATCGGCAAATCGATTTAAAACATGTCACCGAAATATCCGAACTGGAAGAAGTGATTTTAACATTTGTTCGGGCTCATATTCCATCGCAATCGGATGCCAATCGAACGGCATACAAAATGATTCAACATATTTTGGCGTATTTAAATCCAGGACGTTTGGATAAATTTGAATTTAAAGAAAAATTAGCCAAGTACAGTTGGCTTGATGCGTTCCCAATCTTTGCAACCGATTTACTGTCATATCAATATCAACGATTCAGCAGCGATCAACGATTACCGAGCTATGTGATTTACGATAAGTACGAGTATCAGGATTACATTCGGACTGCTTGGTGGCTGCAAACAAACGAAGAGCTGCTAAAAGACCTCACCACCAATGTACTACGAAATATCGATGCCGCCGTCGATGAATACGAACAAACGTGCAAACGACAACGTTTGGAAGAAACGCTTATTGCTTCCGAAGAGAAAAAGAATTTGGATGACATTCTGGAAAAAGGCTATGCATCACTAGCAAAAGCCGACAAAACACACCATCGAATGAAAGAAATTCAATCCACTTGCAAAGATATTTCAAAAGACCTTGACTACGATCTTTATCGACAAGAAAAAATCATGAGAGACATGAGACACACGTTGAAAGATTTCAATGAATAAATTGAAAACAAAACCGAAGAGAAAAAAAAAACATAAACAATTGTATTTGTACGTCACTTTTGTTAATATTAATAAGAAAAGAAAAATAAAAATTCTTACTTAATTTAGTTTTAATTGAACACGTGACGATGTTTATTTGCTTTGACGCGTATTTAAGTTTAAGGTATAGCATTTTTAGAGTTTCGGAATCAAAATTGAAGGGATGGAGTAAGTTGAATGGTTTGAAAATGCTGAATTGATTGAGTTATAAATTGGGTGTCAATATTTTGATACGTATCATGGAAAAAACTAACGGACAGCAGCTTTCATTTCTTCATATCGACACGACACTCTTACTTACTTTGTACATTGAGACTTTTTCCACTCAATCCAATAACATTCACACTAGTTGATGACGACATTAAATCGGCCATAACATTTATGCTCGTCAATGAAGAAAGTGACAGTGTGCTAGCCATAATTCCAAGCAAATTATTACTTATTTCAATGAAAAAAAAAAAATTTATCGTTAAAAATCAAAACGCACTGAACATCAATGACAAAACGCAATATAAATCAACATGAGTTTCATTTCACAGTTCCGCGTGTCCACTTAAGACGTAACGATATAAACTGAAAGTTGAATGAATCTTGACGAAGTTTTTATATCTCATTTTTTGTGCCATTGGTTGAAGCCAATGTTTGTTTTGATGGGCTAAATTAATTAATTTATACGGTCGATAGCTTTGAAATATCACGCTTAAACTATCAAGATCAATTAAACTATCAAGAACATGTAGACAATGGCCTGGACGCGCAGTTTTCCATTAAACGCTTTTGTTGAGAAATGATCTTATTGGTTGTCAAATACTAAATTTTGTGACAGCATACATGCTCGATGTTGTGAATGCGCATTTGGACTCATCATTTCTCAATCAATGACGAATGTTCTCAAACCCAAACAATGAAAATCATTTCACGAAACACTAAGGAATCTGTCTACTCTCCCAATTGCGAGCATATATCTCCTCATGATGCCTCCAATTTGTTATGTTAATTGATTCAATATTGCCAGTTGTCAACAAATCATTTGCGATATTCTCGCCGTATTGAATCAATTACCCATTTTTTTAAATCATGACTCAGTAAAATGTTTACTATCTCTTTAAAAACGATTCAAACATGTGTCGAAAGAAAGACCATTCATGAAATAATAGGAAACAATTTGTGTGAATACTGCATTTTATTTGGTTAATAAATCATTTATGAGTATACAGCAATTGATACGGCCGTTTTGATAAATAGGAAGTAGCTCACATCAAGCGAATGATTGCTTTCCAAAGAATAATGCGTGTTTTTTTTTTTGAAAGAAGAAAATCCCATTTATCAGCGAGACTATCAATGTCGATAAACAAAACATCAATCAAAGGGATTTAATTCGCGGTTGAAGTACGAGACTTCATCGATTGCATTATTTTTCCGAAATCAGAATTCAGTTCATTTTAAAAGCACTTAAGACACTTTTTTTCCTCCGTTTATTTATTTTTTTCGTAGTTGTTAAATCAAATGTTGCCGAAATTAGCTCGGTTAAAGATTAATTGGGTTGAATTTGTCCAAGACGAACGTAAACACGAACACTAAGCGCGTGTCTTTCCTTTTTATCACTGCTCGATGCGGTGCTAGCTGCTGTGCTCCCAACGACCGTATTCACGTATGTGTATTGCATTGTAAAGCCAGCGACGACATCATCGCCAACCTTCAGTAAATTCATTTGTGGTTTAACATTCAATTCGATTGCGACTTTGTTGGCTTTGCGCCAGAGGATGAATTTTAGTTCTTCTTTTTTCACTTGATCATCGTCATCGAATTCGGCGGCATCGTCACGATAATTCAAAATGAATGATGAATCCGGAATGATGACCATTGCATTGACTCCATCGCCAACCGGTCGCAATTCTTCGGCAATGATCGATTGCTGACGACTCAACGGCAGCGAAGTGAGACTGCTCGGTGCTGATCCAGTGCCACTGGGTGTAGTTACCGTTGAAGAGGCATTCAAACTTTTTTCAAAACTGCTCTTCAACTCGGAAATGATCAGATCCTCTTCGTCTGACGTTGGCAAATCCATAATCGTTATGGTCATATCGTGTAGTGTTGGATTCGTCAAACGCAAATGAATTGTAAATGTGTCCGTTGAACCGAGAACAATTGGTTGCGATTTGATGAGACGAACATCAGGCATGTGAGCACTTGCGTACAATTGAATACGATATTTAATCGACGGTGGATTGAACTCTGGCTTCAAGACATTGTGTTGACATTGTTTGCAACGCAACGATCGTTTGATCGAAATGCTTTTGTGCTGTGGATACAGATTATTCACCGATGTTGGTTGAAGCGATGGATTTTGCAAGCGTTGTTTCAGTGTTGTGACCGATTTCAAGTTGATTGGCTGAGTGAAGATGTCTTTAGGCAATTCATCAACCTCTTCGCTTGCTTCGGATGGTAAAATTTTTGGATTTTTCTTAACAGCGAGTTTTTCAGACCATCCCATTTGACGACGAACTATTGATGCTGTCAAACCAGTACGATCCTAGGAATGGAAAAGATTTAGTTTTTACATCCTTTCTTTTGAACAATTTCGAAGTTTCTTACAGTTAAACTACCGAATTTATGTTTTTTCGGGGTCATCCGACGCGAATAATCCTGTTTCTCTTGCTTTTCAACTAACACCACATCTTGATAGTACTCCATTAGTTTTGAGAACCGAGTTGCGTGTGCGTATTCGATTTCAGGCCAATTTCCAGCAGCTGTAATCGAGAGAAATCATCAGCAAGTGGCAATTTGCAATATTCAATTACTTTTTAGGGGAGATTTTAATTTGAACATTTTGGAGTTATTGCAAAGTCAAGGTATTGAAGCGAAACAACCGCTTGTGTCAACAATAAATCTCCGTATTGAAAACCGTACCGTTTGTTTGATCTGACAATCCAACATCGCGTGATGTCCACCGGCAAGCTAAACACGATAAATAGTACATTTTACGTGCGGATGTTTTAGTTGCTTTATCGGCATCTGGAGCTGGTGAAGCTGCACCAGCCGCTGCTGCTTCGCCCTTTTCATTTTTCTCGGCTTTGGCATCACCATCACGTGGAACATGAACGGTTGTTGCTCGTGACGATAGCGTATGTTGACAGCTGGGACACTCGAAACATTTGTTACAACGATACTTTTTCAACTTCGCCTCTCCCGACGGAATATTCTCCAAACAATTGTAACAAAAGTGAGAATCGACCTACGAATTCAATAAATTGAATTAATACTTTTTTTAAATCCATAGATATTTTGGTCACCCATTTCATGGAAGAAGAAATGGAAAAAAAACTAGCACTTACTTCATGACACACACAAAAGCCGCACCTTGGCTTCAGACAATGTCGACAAAAAAACAATTTTGTTATTGGATTCAAATGACCACAAGCACACACATAACTAACTACATTCGATTCTAAGACATTGGCCATTTCTAATCGAAACTATTGATATAATCTTAATCAGCCGTTGAGAAATATTTTGTTTTTGGAAAAGATCATTTGTTGTATCACTGCAAGAAAAGTTGTATTTTGTCTCTGGACTTTCTTTCTCGATGACGTTTCTATACTTCACAGATGTCAATGAAATCATCTGGTCGAATGTCGAATTGGTCGAATTTCGAATGGGGAAATATCTCTGTAGTTTGAACGGAAGGAATTGTGATTAATTGAATAAATTGAATACCGTATTTTTTGAATGACCAAACATAATTGTTGATTGAAAAAAAAATAAGTGGAAAAATCATCAATCGATACTCGATCAAATAATATGAAAAAAAATTGATTAAATTTAACAAATTGACAACAAAACAAGAAACATTCAAAGTATTTCCCTAATCAACGCCATCTGTTGACAATATTCCACCCCACATTAGAATCGTTGAATATTCTAGATAATTCATTGGAACTTGTTCGACAGTCAAAGTCCAATTCGAATGAAGATAGACGTCAAATGGGCCCCATATTCACTGTGCACTTCATTATAAAGTGAGAAAGCAATCGGAACAGATTTCAAAAGGTAGAGATACAGATTTTCATCATCTTTTGTGCATTGAGCAAGCGATTTGTGAAGTGAAAAAAGAAACTAATATTAAACACAATTTTTTTTCTCCTCTGGATTTTCAGTGTTTTCTTTTATTTATCCAAGTTAAATTGGGAATTTAAAAACAAGTAACAAAATGGCACGACGAGGACGTTCAGCAAGCCCACCACCAGCAAGTAGACGGTAAGTGCTAATTTTTGCTTATTGTGTCACAATGACATGAAAAATGATTTTTTTTTCAAGTGAATAAGGACATAATCGAATAGTCAAAAGTGTGAACAGTGTTCTTAGTAATTTTTTGCATCAATGTTTTCACGGAAACGAATTTATGATTGTTACCAGTTATATAACAACATGAACATAACCTTGAATGAGTGATGTTAATGAAAACATGTGCGGAAAATCGAGATAAATTTCACAATTTTCTCGTTGATTGCTCAAGTCGCGTGTTTTCACATCGATGACGTCGTTGGCGTATCGTTCGATAGTTCTTTGTTTACGTCGTACATTCGACGTAGATTTATTTTCGTTTTGTCACCTCACAGTCACATGACAATGCAATGATACAGTAAACATGTGCAATGCTTGCCGAATTTGATGATGTCTCGTGAATCACAATCTTTTATTAGTTTATGTGGATTTTTGCGATTTTGACTAATTTTCGTTTGTTTTCCTTGTTTCAGAACTATGTCATCTGCTCCTCCAGCCCGGCCAAGAGCTCCACCAGCGGCAGCAGCCAGACCAACTGCTCCTCCACCAGCTCCAGTTGCCGCTCAACCAAGCGCTGTTGCCGCTCCAGCTGCATCAGGGTAATTGTCTCTTCATTTCAATTGGCTATTGGATTTCTTCTTTTGCGAATTGAATATTAATTATTTTCGGTTTTTTTACAGTCAACCATCGATGTTCCAACAGATGGCAGCCACCGCTGGTGGTGTCGCTGTAGGATCGGCTATTGTAAGTTTTCCGTTTGAAAATCAGTTCAACATTTTATAGCGTTCAAAGTTTGTTATTTTTTTAACAAATGTTTTTTCCTGATTTCAATAGGGTCACACTGTTGGACACGCCGTTACAGGAATGTTCTCAGGCGGTAGCGACTCAAAAGAAGTAGCAACCGAACCAGCACCAGCGCCAGCAGCTCAACCAGCCTACCAATCGCAGCAACCCCAAACTGGGCCATGCTCGTGGGAGATTAAGCAATTCTTGCAATGTGCTGAAAATCAACATGATCTCTCACTGTGCCAAGGATTTAACGAAGCTATGCGCCAGTGCAAGTCAGCTAACAACATGGTGTAAATCTGCAATATTTTTTTTTAGACCCAATGTTCAAACTGTTAGGCTGGAACTATATTACAGTCACATTTAGATTGTTTTAGACAACAAGCATTCGTTAGTTTGGGAAGAGGAAGATTTGAAAAGACACAAAATTCCATGTAAAAAACCCGTACCGAAACAGTCATCTATCGGTTATTTGATTAGTTTTAGTTTGTTCTCAGGAAAAAAAAAACAAAAGCCAATAAAAATAGAAACAAAATAGAACAAGCTAAAAAGGTGTGTTTAATTTTAATTTTTGAAGAAATTTTTCAGAAATAAATGAATTGTGTACATGAATATATTTTTTATTTGGCACAGGTATGCAAGTTTCCATAATTGTTTGGCCCTTTTGGTTCAGTCAATTCAATCGCATTTTCATATTACTATCCACTACGCATAGCTCTCGGAAATCTTTTCCGTTCCATTGGAGGTGGTCGTGAATTTGGTTTTTCTAAATTGTTGATAGTCATATTGACGAAGTCAAAATATTTATTTACAGGAACCCATGATATTCATGCATTGAATCTGGGCAGTTCCTAATAAAACTGTATTTGTTCGATGGGAAGCTCAATTTGAATTGATTTTTTTCCGGATCGATTTTTTTCTGGTGATTTTGGGATTTTGTGATTGATTTTTTTGTGATTTCTAGATTTTTGGAGTGATTTTTTCTTGGTCCTGATAAACATTTATTGATTTTACCTACCCAACGAATGACAACCGGACATTCAAAATCTTCTTGATTTCATTGATTTTATTGTTTTTCTTGATTTTCTTGATTTTTACAAAAATAATCAATAAAAAAATCCGATGGATGCATTTCACTAGGGGGAAAGAACTATTGGTATATTTACTCCGTAGTGTTATTGTTGTTGTTTTCTTGTTCTGTTGCTTCATCGCGTTCGTGGCGAGCAGGAATGACAGTTGCAAATACGCACATTTTATTGACCATGCATTCGCAGCTAGTTATTCAGCGCATTGACACGCATTGACGCGTATTGATCCAAACTCGGTAGAATATGCGATTATTTACAATATTACTTTTCCGCAAACTTTGTTTGTATGGAAAAGTATTGGTTTTACTAGCCAAAATTTCATGACATCTCCTCTTTCGGACCACTATAACGTCACGCCAAACTTCAAAAAGCACATATCTGTACACTAGGCAATGTAGATGGGAACAAATCCTATCGATCAAGACCTATCTGCCTCCAAAAACATGTTGTTTACTATGAAAAATGTGCAAAATTGCGATGTGCGTATGGCGTCGTTCGCGTCCTAGCTTTTTGTTCGCCGATTATCTCAAAAAGTTGACAAGATAATTGAGATCTGTAAAAGCCAAAAGTTTTGGCATGTCGAGACAAAGCTTCGGATTGATTTTGAGCCCATTCTGATTTACCAATTTCGTACCATAAGCCTCCGACTGAGGACCTGGAAAACCTTGAAAAATGACACTTTTGTACGGGAAGTACCCGAAAAAAACATTTTTCAGAGTTTCGACCAAGGCAAACTGCCATTTTTTTGCAAAAATAATGGGAGTCTGTGAACAACTGAACACCTACTTGCCCATAAATTTGGTCCAAAATCGACATTTCTTGAAATTTTCCTCGAAAAATAGACTTTTGTATGAAAAATCACACAGAAAGCCATTTTTTAGGGTTTTGGTCAAGATAAACTAATGTTTTTTTGCAAAAATAATGGGGGTCTGTGAACAACCGAATACCTATTTGCCCATCAATTTGGCCTGAAATCGACATTTCTTGAAATTTTCTCCGAAAAATACACTTTCGTATGAAAAATCACTCAGAAAGCCATTTTTCAGAGTTTCTGTCAAGGCAAACTGATGTTTTTTTGAAAATAATGGGAACCTTCGAACAACCAAGCACCTTGCCCATGAATTTGGTCCAAAACCGACATTTCTTGAAATTTTTGAAATTCTGTTCGAAAATGACTTTTTATATGGAAAATGGTCGAAATAGTTACTTTTCCAGCTCAGAAGTGCTATGAAAAGAGTTTTTATTGAAATTTTGGTTAAATACTAAGCGGGAGGTAAACCAAATTGCCGCGGAGCGGAAAAGTATGAATTACGTATGTAATTCGTTTTATAATAAAACTTTTATTTATATTTTCATTTACTCAGTTCTTTCCCCCTAGGCATTTCATCATAACAAGCCTTGAATCGTGAGACAACATGGTTTTTAGTTTATTTTATGTTCATGTGCCTTCATCGCCATCGTTGTTGTATTCGTTCGTTACGTCTTAAAATGATATGGCTCATTTCCTATCCGAATCAACCTATTTCATCTAATTTCTATGAGCCATTGCTTAGTTATTATATTGATGCCACCACGATCAACTTGTATGACGTTCCATACTCCCCAACCTTGAGTTGTCCTGTTCAGTCCAAGTCTTCAGAAAATCAACATATTGAGAATTCCTATTCCCAAATCAAAGGAAATGTGATTTTCTACCGATCTAGACACTTACATTACCTACTAACACCCATATGGTCGACCAATGTCACCTAGCATGGAACGAACGAAGAAATTTTCAAAGAATGACTTTTCTGACCACACATAGCGCTGTAACTCCCTTCACAGCTAGAAAACCGTTCTGAAAATTTGATGGCAGCTTCATGACGACAAAACAAGACTCTCAGCCAATTTTGAGCGATATCGTGTGGGCAAATCGAGTTATTATCAAAAATGTCACCTAGCATGGAAAAAACTCGAAAATTTATGACCAATAAAAGACAAAAAATGTTAGTAACAAGGGAGTTGACCTGTTCGGTCCAAGTCTTCAGAAAATCAACATATTGAGAGTCCCTATTTCCAAGTCAAAGGAAATGTGATTTTCCACCGATATAGCCACTTAATTACTGTAATGTATCTCAGTTGAGAGTCGGAAACAGAAGAAAGTCTTTATTCAGTGTTCTTACTAGCTAATGTCACAATGGTTTTATTCTAGTTGACAATGTGTCTGAATGGCGCTGCGGTAAAAATGTAGTAATAGATTAAGTTCTTTTACCTTTGCTATAATGATGTACTTTACATACTCTACAACCCCTTTCTAAAGATGTTTAATTATATTAACAATATTTTGTTCAAAACAGATTTCTTCTTTTTTTTATGAATGAATTGCATGATTAAAAAATAGTATTTCATGTGTGTTGCTGTACATTCAGCACTGAACCACGACGTTAGCGACGACGGTTTGACATGTAAAAGTCTTTGATCTTTTCTTTCGCTCTGATCTGATCTACATGATGTTTAATGTCACGTTTTTCACGGAGTAACAAACAGGTGTAATTACGTGGTCCTATTTTATTTTTAATAGTAGCTTGTGACCAACGGGCTTTGTTTGGGTTTCGATAATCTCTTACATAGACTTTTTGTCCTACCGAAAAATTTACTTTACGATTTCCTTTATAATTTTTAATTGCGGTTTGATGCTTCTCTTTGATAACATCTGTAACTACAGGCGGTTTTAGCAAACTAAAACGCGATTTCAATTCTTTTCCGAGAAGGAGTTTCGCAGGAGTTTCGTTAGTTGTGCAATGTTTTGTAATTCGATAGTCAAACAAAAATCTATCGAGAATGGTGTCGACCAGGGGGAAAGAACTGTGGAAATATGTTGTAAATATTGTAAATGAGTGTAAATGAACATACTTATTTGTATGAATATTTACAGCGTATTTGCGACCTGCAGATGGCGCTCGCGCGGCTGTCAATATTTCAAGCATTCATAAATATTCTATGTAAATACGCTTTTAAATGGACGTAAAATGAACGTAAATATTGCAAATGCTTACAAATATTTACAAATATAAATAGTTCTTTCCCCCTAGGGTGTCGAAGTCACCTATTTTGCTCTCCTCAATCGTTGCAATTAATGACTTCTTCAATGTTTTGACAAAATTTTCGGCTTGACCCTTTGTCGATGGATGTCCAGGTGCGGTGTATATGTATACGATGCCATTCATTTCCCAAAAATATTTAAATTCAGCAGAAGTAAATTGTCTTCCATTGTCTTGAACCAAGATGCTGATTAAACCAAATCGTGAGAAAATTTCTCTTAATTTACCTTGGTTTTGAGAACTTCAACCCATTTGGAATATGAATCAATTGCAAGGAACAAATAATAGCCTCGAACGGGACCTGCGAAGTCAATGTGAACACGTTTCCAAGCTGAATCAGTGGGTGTCCACGGCATGAGAGTACTTTTCTCAGGACTTGCGTCTTTTGACAATAAACACAACCTTTTATCAAATTTTCAATTTCTTTGTCAATATGCGGCCAATAAACATATGAGCGAGCTAACGCTTTCGTTTTTACAATTCCCATGTGCGATGCGTGAAGGTCTTGCAAAATGATCTTACGCAGAGCGTTTGGAATGACGGTGCGATAGCCCCAAAGAATGCAACCTGATTCAACAGATAATTCAGTTGCTTTGTTTCGAAATGATATGTATTCGCTGCCTTGAAGCTGATCGACAGTTCCGTGTTGAATACAATCGTAAACCTTTGATAAAATTGGATCTCGTCGAGTGGGTGTGGCTATATCTTTGTACGTCAATGTTTTCATGATGTTTGTACCTACATAATTTATGTATGAACTCTCCTTGGTTTCTTCCGCTGTAGAAACTTGTGCGATACGTGATAAACTATCAGCCGTATTCAAAGAACCTTTAATGTACTGAATAGAATAATTGAAACCAGACAAAAGAAACGCCCATCTCTGCATA